TCAATACAAACTTTATTTCAAGAAAACTGCATAGTCGTGTTATCGGCAAGCGGTTCTCAACCCCAAAACAAGAAGCTACTAGTACCTTTTGTCTCTTTCATCATCGCAGTCCATCATAGCGAGAGTAATGATCGGATCTTTCATTCTTCTCATGGTTCTGGCGCGAATGCTGTTTCCAGGTTTATTATATCCAGCTTCGTCTGCCTGATATGATCTAATAGGTTGGGCTGGACCGAGCGTTAGCTCGGGATGGGACGCAGGCAGGTGGAACCGCTCGCCCATCAAGCCGGAACGATCCGCGGCTCATAGCTGCCTAGCCCAACCAGACGTGGAGGCGACGGTTAGAGTGATCCTGCATTAGCCAGTGTTGAGAGCAGATTTGCTCGAATGCACGGATATACGTCTCGTACGCTAAGGATCTCCAGCGGCCGGCAATTCGAAATATTTCGGGATCAACCTTCTTTGCGAGATAAAAGGACGCACCACCCGAAAGTCGTGCCCCAACCCCAGGCCATTAAAATTGAGTTGATGCGCTCCAAGGCCCGGATTTTGGCCATTGGACGAACATCACCTTTGTTGTCGCGCCACGAGCAAAAAGGATCATTTGCGAGGGCGGGAACGACTAAGGCCAAGTTGTGGAGAGCCGACAGAGGACACAGGTCTCCTTGCTCGTTGAGAAAGACAGATTGTGACTCCCCGGCCCGAGCCGTCTTGGCTGATGGTAGGTCGAGACGTGCGTAAGGGTTGTTCCGCAAGTCGTGTCCAAAGAATGCATGAGCGCGGGTAAGGTGTTTGTTCAACTTTGAGTGGGTTGAATGCGGAGCGAGAAGTGACGGAGACTTCACCGAAGCGCATCATGCCAAAGAATACACATGATGCCATCGCCCACACGCATGCGTCGAAGGGATCTGATGATATGAGGGTGGCCTTGAGAGTCGAGAGCGTCGCGACTGATATGCGGCCTGGGTGGCTGGAGAGGTTTTCGACGGCCGCCATGCAAGTTCTCCAGGCCCGGCAAGGACCAGTTGATACGGTCATGGTGAGAGTCAGACAGCGGTGGGGGCCAACCCTGAGCAATGTGCCAGGCCCGCACGGCGGACAAGTATTTACGTGCGACTCCGACTGAGACAGGCTCGAAGGTCACGGAAGTGCCGCTTTCTGCCGAGAGAAGCGGGTCACCAGGGTCTGGGTCCGTGACGGCCCATACATCAGGAAAACCTTCCCGCCGTAAATTTCTCCTAATTATCAGAATTAGCCTGAATTTCCGATAATTTGTCTAATTAGCCCAATTACTGATAATGCTTTCAAAATATCTTAAGATCGAAGGACCCATGATCGAATTTCAGCAAGAACCGTTATACTGATAGCTCGTACATTAAACACTCATTGAGGTAATAGATACTATGATGCTTGAGTCACTACGTAGTTAGTACAAATGTTTAAAGGCTGAGTATCTCTCAACTGTGTGTTATGATAAGATTACACAAATGCATGAACCTCTCCCTCTTCGCATTGTCGTGTTGTATGAGTTTGATCAATGCCATGACCCTGCCATATGGCTCACAGAAGTGTTCTGCAGAAGCGTCAATGTTCAAGTAAGTTCCATTTCTGAAACCACTGAGTGCATTATGTGATGCAGCCCCAGCAAGGCCAAACACAGAGTCAAGGTTCTCCTCATTCATGTATTGGTAAAGGCCATTGAGGAATAAGACATCTATGATCATGTTTATGAACTAATTAGTGATGTGCATGGCCCGGCTTGGAATTCTGGAAAGCCAAAGCCAGTGGCCTGAGCTGTGGCTTTGTAGGGTTTGCAGAGGCAGTGAAACTGTTCCAAACCCTGAACCAATTATCATCACCATGATCAGTATTTCATTCCCAGTGAAAGCAAGAGTGAGATACCAGTGAGTCTGAGCAACGAGCCTTATAAATGTTGCTGGCAGCGACAATTGTTTGGCAAAGGCTTTGGATCCAAACAAACACTCAGTCACATCAAGCTCAGTGCTTTGCATCAACCATGTGTGCATCATGGACATCCATCTTGCATGTCTCGTGATTGGTGATCAGGTCTTGTTTGGGAAGCTTTGCAGAGGAGAGCTTCCATTTCTAACTACTCTCAGACCAGGTGAGTCTGCAATTTTACCTTCTTTGTAGTCTACTGATGCAGGAGAGAGCCCAGATGCCCTCGTTCTAGGCACCACATCTGCAGATGACATTAACATCCATGAGGCTGATGGTGAAGCAGCATTCAGCGCATCTATCGACATTCATCTCTGGCAAAAATGAATGCGCGTAGCTGGCGTGGTCGGCATAGAGTTTATTGCTCGAGGTGAGTGCATCATCTCACTTTGGTCTTCCATCCTTACACCCCTTCTCACAGGGCACATATGGTCACTCACCTTCTTCACCTCTCCCTTACCTTCTCCCTCATCTAGTTCTCTCTCCACTTGTGCTGCAGGAAGTGGGCCCTGGCAAGTCGCTCTCTGTCTTATGGAGCACAGCCCACCCACTTTTGTAAATGGGAGGCTCACCATCAATGTGTTCTGTCCATCCTTAGGATCGTCCCCAATACTGGACTTGCTTTCGTCGTCTTCACTAGTCCAAACCTCCCACTCAAGGCACCCATCCTCGAATCAGCCTCATGCCGTGACACCTACTACCCCAACACAACTGCCCCTCACAATTCCCCTTCAATCTTCAAACCGCCTCACCCACCACCTGTTACAATGGTGCCATATTTTCTTTTCTCTTTCTTTCTTTACTTACTCATCAAGTCTCATGACTGCTTATCAACATGTCCAACATGTGAACACTTACCTATATGCTTACTCGTTATGCTTACACAGATAATTACTCATACTATTCCCTGATTGGTTGATCCAACATTGTACCATCTCTCATCTCCTTTTCTGATTGGTTGATATTGTCTTCCTATTCTCGCTTACCTTTCTTGATAGGGTCATTCACTGACAGACCGGCCCTAAACTACCTTCTTGTTACATATATATATTACGTCTCCTGTACTTGTATTCCTTAACTTGAATCTACTAGGTTCTCTCCTGATACTTCGAGTTCACTGATCTAGTTGCCTTCCAAGCAGACTAGCCTGAATACTCGATCTAGTGAGCCCTTGACACTTGACTAGCAGAACCTTTGATCTTAGAACTTGCGATACACTTCAGCCTTGATCATCCTCTATTGGAATGCTGAAGAAGAACTATCCTAGTTGTAACACCGCCCATCAGATGGGTCTGTATTCAGTGTACTGGAGCTTGTGTGAGTTACTGATCCTAGGTTGGTTCTGATTTTGTTGTATTGCATGGGGGCTGATAATGGGCTTCTACTGATAAGTTGATGCAAAAAAGTGGGGCTGAATGCTGGAAGATAGTGATGGTTCATCAATCACAGTACTCAGGCTGCGGCTCAGGCCAGAGCTGAGCCAAAGCCAGCCGTCACTGGCAGCTTTGGCCTGGCCTGGATTTTTTGCAAGCCCAAGCTGTCTGAAGCCAGGCCAGGGCTGCGGCTTTCGAACCAAGCTGGGCCGGAACATCACTAGAACCAATCTGCTTTGAGCACATGACAAACCACTGTACTGGTGTTGTCCTGTAAGTTTACATAAGTACGAGTATGAAGTCTGAAAAAATAAACCTACCACTTTGAATTTGTGTAAAAAGTTGAGGCTTTTGAGTAGCATCAGCACCAATATTTTCTTATGCAGAACCTCAGCACCTTGCTGCTCAAGTGGGAGTCATAATCCCAAATCTTTCTGGATATTGTGTGTAGCATAGTCCTTGAACAGGTGGCGGATGTGGGACATCCATGAGACCATTTCTTCTTTGACTCTTTGTGTTTTGAATGGTCTATGTTTAACTAAATAAAATGTTCATCAGTGATGTGCACAAGTGCTGGCAGTACATTGCATGACATACCACCATGGCCAATCACCGCAATTCTGCCAACCATCAACGCCTTCTTCATAGTTTTGGCATGTTTTTTGTGCATTGCACCGACTCCCTCCTTCTGCAACATGACATGTTGTAGTTCAACCTTCATCTTTTCTTTGATCGACAGTATTTCTGCCTTACTGAGATCCATGGGGGTTGATGAATCATCTTCAAAGTCCTCCGACTTGGACTGGGAGGACTCCCCTTCTGTAATGTTGCCTGGAGTTGGGGTTAATGCTGGCACTAATGCCAGTGTCTGAAGTTCATAGTATTAGTACTATAATAATTACAGTGACAGACTTATGTATGTGACACCTGCTACTGATGCCCACTCTGCATTCTCTGCTTGAGGGACCTTGGCAGCACTGAGGTCTCATCACATGTATTGTGAGACACCATGGCCAGTGAGAGAAATGTGCTGGTACACATATTCATCTAATTCATACTGAGGTTCATGTGGCTGGAGTTCAGGGTTGGGTTGGAAGAAAGGCTGCAGTGGTGGGTTGTATGGATCAGCTTGGAATTGAGAAGATCCAGACTGTGACATGGGCGGTTGGTGTCCAGAGTTAAGTTGGAACTCCCTGAGAGGCGGAGGTTGGTGCTATGATGCAGGATACTTGAGAGGCTCATAGTGAGGCTCCAGATGGAGCTCTTGAGGGAACATAGATGCAATCCTAATAATGGTGGCATGATCAGTATAGTGATAGATATATATAATACTGACATTTTTGGCGGAGATGTTAATTGTTGTTGTTGTTGAGCGTAGTGGTACAATCCAAGTCTTTGTGGGGACCTTGGGCTTGTGCAGTAGATTTACCACTCATTTTAAAATTAAAGTACACCCAAATGACTTGGATGGAAATGAAGATCACAGTGGATGTATTTATCAGGACGATGACCATCAGGAAAAAGGGTTTTTGCCATTTTTGGCTGTTTATTCAAATAGAGACACTATGGGCTATATTTAAATATATGTACACTATATTAATAACTTGAGTGATATAGAGTTAGACTCTTGCTATAAATCACACAAATCATATATATACTAAGTATTGACTACCAAAGTGTCTGATAAGCAAATTTACTTGACCAATTGTTAAGAAGAAAACTGTTGCATAAGTCCAAAACATTAGCAGACTTCCGGCTGGAAGGCCAACTAATGTTAGGACCCAAGTGAGGAATAAGATGACAAGATTGATGTATAGTAGAAAGAGAAACTATGTCACCTGGAACAATGTTGTTGTTTTGGCCAATAGCCTTAGTGACTGAATACATATTATGATGTCATCCTGGCTGTTTAGAGAGTGTGAGCCATTCCACATAAGCCAAATGTATGTTCCTTAGGCCAGGCAACTATAGCATCATCCATGATCGGAATAGAGTCTGGAAGGCAAAAAATGACTTTTAGCCTTCCAACTTTCATACCTGCAAATGTATTGGTCAGTAAAGCTTAACTTGATAGGAAGTACTAGTAGCATTAGGTAGCGCACCATGAAGTCCAGTGGACTCAGCTTCATCTGACTGCGCAACAACTACAACATCAAATCTCCCATCTCCCACATCCTCAGCTCTGCCTTTCCCTGGCTTAGCCCTGACTGAATCTATCTCCTCCTGGCCATCTACATCGTTACCAAGAGTGTCCAATGAAAATTTAAAGGTGTGCCAGACATCCAGTTGATGGAAGGGTAAGCGTGCGTGAGGGAGCTGAATGCGTGATATGACTTCCCCTCTGGGAATTTTGTTGACAAACAGCACAGCCTTCAACATATTTACGCACAAAAGTGGGAAGACCTGGCCACCAATAGTCACAAGACAAAAGTTCTTGCATTTTAAAACGGCCAGGGTGTCCAGCAGTAGGGTTGTCGTGATGAAGGGAAATGAGTTCTCGTCGTAGGGGTCTGGGTGTCACGAATTCCTAATATGAACCATTTTTCATTTCTCGGTTTTCCTTCGGCTACTTCCAGTACCCAAGCCAGTCACGTGACTCCTCGTCATGGGTCACCTGTTGCTTCTCCGATTGGCTCACCTACTCCACGGGCTAGAACAATCTCGCTTCTCAAAGGAGAACCGGTCGGAACTTGGGTTTCTGTTTAGTTGCCGTCTTACTCATCTGCTTATATATCATGATGTCACGCTCAGTCATCCGCAGCATCGTACGACTCTTTTCTCATTGGCTGATTTCTTTCAGACTCCTACTTAATGTTATGTATAAGAGTAGGGTAGTTAGCATAAGTGCTCCTTAGACTTAACCTCTTCGTTTCTACTGTTGTAGTGACCTAGACGTCAATGCTCAATCTATCCTGTTGCTCATCGTCATCTCTGACCGAGTCCTAGTGGTTGTGCACTCACCTTCAACATTATTGTTGGACGTCAGTCATAACACTGGGTGGGACGTAAGCGTGGCCTTTGAAGGTGAGAATATTATTGGAAAAGGTCCAATCTGAAAGTGCAGTCTTCATAGGGAGAGGTAGAGCGGGATTGGAGAGAGCATCAATGGTTTTCTGAACCACAATGTCAACCGACGAGGAGATGTGAAGTTTGTCATGCATAGCAGTGTCAATAAGGTTGATGAACAACCCATCAGGTAGCACAGTGACATCCGAGTTGTCTGTAGCATTGACTGAGACATGATCAGGTCTGTGGGAAAGGGAATCGGGAACAGAAATATCTTTGCCAGGTACATGTTGTAGTTGCAAGTCAAAACTGGAGAGGAACAACAGCCAATGAGCTTGTCGGCGATTCAGTTGTCGTGCTTGGCGAAAGTAGGTCAAGTTTTTATGGTCAGTCATGATGAGAACTGGGAAAGGGGAACCTTCAAGGTAATGGTGCCAAGCTTCTAAAGCTTGTATAATGGCTAGCAGTTCCCGATCAAAGATCTGATAATTCCGTTCAGCAGGAGAGAAAGTTTGGGACAGGTAGGAGCAGGGATGCCAATTGCCGTTGGAGTCTTTCTGTAGAAGTACTCCTCCGGTAGCATAAAGTGATGCATCCACTGTGATTGCAAAAGGCGAGTCTTTGTCAGGGATTGAAAGTACAGGGGCAGAGAGGAATCTGTCTTTTAGGTCGGTAAACACTTTATCACAGGCATCCAACCAATCAAAGATCGCATCTTTCTTCGTAAGATCAATGAGTGGTCGGGCTAAAGTGGAACAATCGGCTATGAATTAGCAGTAGAAATTGGCAAACCCAAGGAATGATCGAACGTGCTTGACGGTAGTCAGTTGTTCCCATTTGACTACACCGTCTAGTTTGACTTTGTCCATGCAGATTTGTCCAGGACGAATGAGGAGGCCAAGGTATTCAACTTCAGTGGTATCAAATACGCACTTTTCAGGTTTTAAGGAAAGTTGATGGTCTTGGAGTTGTTGTAATACTCGAGCAGTTCATTGGTGGTGGGATTTGATGTCTTTAGAGAAGATTAAGATGTCATCCATATAAATGACCATTCATCCTTCATCAAGCATGTCAGAGAAGATGTCATTCATCATAGCTTGGAAGGTTGCGGGAGCATTGCAGAGACCGAAAAACATGACGGTAGGTTTGAAGAGATCTCTTGACGTCTTAAATGCTGCTTTCCATCTATCTGGCCCATGAATGTGGACATTATTATATCCCGTGCTGTGGGGAATTCCCCCACTGTAGGTGTAAAACCCCGTCCTTTCTGCATCGTCTCACATCAGTTCCGCGTATTCCGCACGTTCCGCATTTCCCACGCATCATCCGATGGGTTCCGCATTCCCGCGCATCCTTCGGAACCCGCCCGCACTATCCGATATTCCCGCGCATTGTCGGACAACCTTTGTATGTCCTGTCCCCATCCTTCCAGGTCCATTGGTATGCTGTATCCCTCTTCCCACTGTTCCTAACGTTATCCGGATCAAACTGACACATGCCCTTATGGCATGGACCCCTATTCCAGAGTATTGTGCCCATGTGCACTGCCTGCCTTCACTTCCGCTTCCTGAGAGACTTACTACCTGTACCTCAGTGTTCCTTAAAAATAATCTTCCCTTTAAGTAGTGGTACTCAGGGCTTGGGGGTATTTTATTGAATCCCATCTTTTACCTTCCCACTTTTCCTTCACCTTACTAGAGGATCGCTTTGACTTATGCCCACTATCAATCTAACCTTGTGATATACTTCCTTCGACTTCGCCTGTGAGTTCCGACGAATCAGTACGTTCCGCGCTTTATCCGTTTGAGTTCCGTTTCATTCCTTTCCATTCCGCTTGAGTTCCGCTCGGGTTCCACTTGTTCCGTGCAAGTTCCGCTTGTTCCGCTTGTTCCGCGTTTTTGTGGATCCTCATCCTACCTGCGGGAGGGTTGATTAGGGTCATTTAGACAGAGACTAGTACTCCCCAGTAGCAATCCCCTTTAGGGTCGAACGTGCTTGCTCTCAAGTGAGGCAGTAGGCAGCAAAGACCCAACTGTGTAGTAGATTGATTTCTCTCCGCTGCACTTGTTGTACCCACAGCGTGAATGTCCATCTTTGTAAAGATTGTTGCACCCTTTAGTTTGTCGATGAGATTGGGGATACGAGGAAGGGGATAGGCATCTTTTATGGTTGCATCGTTAAGTCTCCTATAGTCTTGACATGGATGGAGAGATCCGTCTTTCTTTCCTACAAAGAAGAATGGGGATGCCTGGGGGGATTGAGAGGGTATGATAGTTCCTTTTGCCAAATGTTCATCAACAAACTTGTTCATTGCCTTTTCTTCTGGTGTGGATAAAGGATAGATCTTGCAGGACCGTGGTTCGAAGTCTGGTTTGAGTTTTATTCTATGGTCAAAGGGTCAAGACAGGGGTAGGGTATCCATAGCTGCCTTGTCAAAGACATCTTTGTACATGTGAAAGACTTCAGGTACGAGTTCTTCAAATGTCTTCGGCTTTTCTTTAGCATACGCTTCTTGAGCTAGCTGTTGTGTGACATTTGCAGCTTTTCAAATTGGACACGGAGTGAAGATGAACCTGGCAGAGTTTGGAACCTTGGTGATTCTGTTCGTCCGGGATACAAATGAGAACGTGGGAGGGATGTGTTCTTGAGTAAGTGGTGTATTGAAATTAGTTTTCTCATAGACTCCAATGAACTCTTCGCCTTTGACATAAGCAATATGAACTTCATCGTCAGCTAGTTCTTCTATTATTTCTTCATCATCATCTTCTTCTTCTTCAGATATGAGTTCAGGTTCCTCCTTGGGGATATCATCTGAGGAGATGTATGCTTCTTCGTCAACAATTTCTTCTATTCTTGGTTGCATAGAAGCATGTCTGGCCCTGTCAGCAATAAGAGTTTTGATCATGGTTGGATCTTCTTCTAGTGAAACTTTGTTCTTTGTCCAATCGATTTGTGGGTTTTCATTTTTGAGCCAGGGAAGTCTGAGGATGATGTCTTCGCCTCCAAGAGACGTGATAAGGAAGGTAGCGAACATAGTTCATCCTCCTGCTGAGAAGAACAAGTTGCAGGCTTTAGTGATGGTTCCTGCTTTGTTCTTTGTTCCATCCACGTTCTGAACTTCAATTTGTGAAGAGAGATTGTGAGTTGAGAAATTGTTTTTTTGTATGTATTTCCAATCAATGAATGTTCCAGTGGCGCCTGAATTGATAAGGGCTGCTGCTTCGGCGGTTTTATTGGACTTGCAGGATTCGATCAAAATAGGAATGTGCATAGAATTTGAATCACCTACAGAAGATACAATGAGTCCGATAGGGGTACTAGGGGTTTCCAATGCCGGTCCGGTCTCCCCATTCAGAAATCCTTCTTTGAAGAAGAGGCGGCTTTCATAGCCTTCCAAGACAGGAATTCCTGATATTCCTTCTCTTGATTGTCTTGTCCGATCTTAGTCTCTCAGGCAGGCATCTGCTTACAGGGTTGCCACCTGGGCGCAGAATCTCTGTGGTTAGGGCAGTCTTTCATCAACCCTTTCTTTCCACATTTGAAGCAGAGACCTAGTTTGTGGCACCTATCTTGTTCGGATCTTGACAGCCTAGTGGTGCGTAGTTGTGCTTCGTCATCCTCTTCATTATTGATATCCATTCTGTCAATATCCATGGCATTAGGATCTTTGGAAGCTCTTCCTCCAGTGTGTTTGTAAAAGACAGCATGTCTGCGAGATTCAATCTCAAATGCTGCTGCAGCCCATCCTTCATAAGTGTTGGGTAATTCTGGTTGGTTAATAATGGCGGCCTTGATGTCGTCACGAAGGCCGTTGCAGAAGAAGAGAATTTTCATTTTCTCATCAGTTATTTCTGCATCAGGGACCAGTCGATTGAAGTAGGAAATGTATTGTTCGATGGTTCCGGTCATCTTTGCATTTTGCATCCTGGCAACTGCCTGCATGCTAACATTTCTTGGAAAGAAGTACACATGGAAGGCATTCTTCCATTCTTCCCAGGTTCCTAGTTTGGTGGACCACCACCTTCTTTCAGTGACTGCAGGAACAGCAGCAGTATTCTGGGTTTGTGCCACTGCAGGTGTGATGACGTGATTGTACCAATATCTGTGTTCGGCTTTGTAGTATCCTTCTGCCCGTTTGGCAGCTTCTCCTTTGGACATCAATGCGAGTGCGAATGTGACTTTCTTGAGGTCATTGTCGTACACCCCTTTGTTGATTTCAAGATAGGTTTCGAGTTGTTTGAACCACAACTTGGCTCGTGCTTTGACTCCATCAAATACAGGAGGCATAACAATCCTGATTTCTTTAGCCGTGTAGTTATTCATGCCGTCGTCGGACATATCGGTTTCGTGGTTGTATTGTCAATAAGGGATATGACAATGTGAGATGAGAGCTTAACCTTTTGTTATGCTGAAGTATAACGCAGGCAAACAATCAATCAATAAGACCAAAGGTCTGTTGATATGTTCTAGACAACTGTCTAAAGAACGCCAAAGTTCAAATAAAGGCTAAGTACCAAAGAGGTAACTTAGAATCAAGTCAGAGTGATCAGAGGAAAACCAGCGTAGGTTAAGCTGAAGAATCAGCGTCACCTAGCCAGGGTTTATATAGTAAACAGGGTACAGGGTATGATGTAATAATAGGTAATGATCAGTAAGCTACATGTGTAAGCAATGAGGTGTCTGAGTCATACCGAACTAAATATAGATTGATAAGAGTCATGCATAGTCAGCATGGATCAAGGGAAAGAAGAAAAGAAGTTCATAGAACAACACAGCCGTAACAATGATGGACAAACTGAGAAATTGATCCCCCAGCCTACAACAGCTAATATGAGGGACGGTGGTTGTGGGCAGTTAATGAGAGCTATGGGACTTGAAGATGACAGAAATCAATACATTTCGATCCAGGTGAGATGCAATATTTTACGTACCGTGCATCTAACCAATTTTGACGGAATGAACAGGGTGATGTGCACTTGCTGTGTGCTCAAGTAGGACTCAACTTCAGCACAAAATATGTTCATCAACCTGCAGAAATTTTAAGTAAAATTTTCAAACTGGTGAGTCAATAACAAGAGAATGAGGACTTAGCTAAAGGATTGTCATGATTATTCTAGGCTCACCGTGAGCACCCTTACCTCAAGCGGTTCCAAAATGACTGGGCTACAGCCAAGATAACAAAACAGTACCTGCAAAACAAAAGAAAACAATCCAACCACAAGAGGAAGGCTCGAGATGAGGGGAACAGTGGTTGGCACAAGACATGTTCTTGTTTCGACATGGGTGGTAGTGAGTCAGAGGAAGAAGGGGAAGACGAAAGCAGCGACCATGGGAGTGGCGACAAGAACAACGAGGGAGACAATGTGGGCGAATCAGGATAAGCGGCAGATGGATGACGTTGTGGGTAATCCAATCATCTTTTGCACCTGTCGAGCTGCAGTGCTCTGAGTGTCTCTATAAGTTCTGATTGGAATAGAAACAATTTTGCGGTCCATTTTCAGTGTGATTGGAGCTTAGTGTTTATCACTGGAAAAACTGGTGTATCTGGCAGCTATTGTACATGGTCAAAGGTACCTGAAAAGCCAATGTATATTGCCACTACAGTACATAGTCAAAAACACCAGAAATGCAGTTGATTATACAGCTAATGGTGCATGACAGGTGAGTGGTCAAAAGCACCACAAAAGGTGGTGAACTTCATCACCTGAAAAGCCTTTTGACAAGATGGTGAAATTGGCAAAAATTCCGGTTATGTTCACCTTGTTTCATGCACCTATTTGCACAGTGAACACTACTGGATGGTGGTGATTGTCACCTTGTAAGCTCGTCATCATCACCGACCTCACAGGTGATCCAGCCAGTGAACTTCACCTACTTCTGGTTTCATAGTGATTTACTGATGCTGTGACAGTCTGTCCAGTGGGGACCAAGCTAGGGCTCTGGTGAACTGTACAGCTCTGTACAGCTCTGTACAGACCATTGTAGTTTACTGATGTATCATATCTAGTGATTAGATCATATCTATTTAGGTAGATATTCCTCTGAAGTCAGTGCTGAGTGCTGCGGAAATCGCTGAAGTACTGCAGCATACGATTTCCCCCCTAGTTAGTAACGAACATCACATCACATCTATCTTACTAATAGGAGCCACTCAGTTGCCGCCTCTCGGAATAGCTTATCGGAGTATAGCAAGATACATTCATCTTTTGGACGCTCATGTCAACGGCTTTCAGAAGCGTTGAATCAAATGAATTTTCGCCCCAGCTTATCGGAGTATAGCAAATTCATTTGATTCAATGCTTCCGAAAGCCGTTGACATGAGCGCCCGAAAGCTGAACGTATCAGCTTATCGGAGTATAGCAAGATACGTTCAGCTTTCGGACGCTCATGTCAACGGCTTTCGGAAGCATTGAATCAAATGAATTTTCGCCCGCCCATTTGTTATATGAAAGCTAGAGTGTATATTGAGCAATTTTGCATACTCAAATACACTGTGACACTGTGCATGCTGTGTGGCTCTGTACCGGTTGTAATGCTGTGGGAATCTTGTATCCAAAACTAGTAGTTTGCTGATGGAGGCGATTCAGGTGCTTCG